ATTGAAACGCACTGATTCTCAAAATTCAGATTTGCTGGATTTTTTTTTTTAAGGAAATTAAAGTGTTTGTGCGCACATGTTTGAAAGGTGAATGTTAACATGTAGTATTGATTAGTGCTATTACCTGTGATACTGACGAGGCAAAGGATGAGGGGCAATATTGCGAGAATTCATTGTATCCTCTTCATTGTGACTCTTTGGGGATGCGTTGCCCCGGGGCATCAGAGGGGTTATTATTTGTTAGCTGCTTATCATCGCAACAAACTGGCATCCATCCTACACCTTCCTCTTCTTCTTCCGAGCCTTCACCTGCCCCGATCCCCTGACGACGTGCTCCCCGCTTTTCCCCGCCATAAACGCCAGCAGCTGCTCGGGCATGCAGCCATGCGTTCTTGACTTTTTTTTTTCCTGCAAAGAGCCGTAAAGAAATTTAGCACAATTAGCTCCCTAATTGCCTCTAAACAAGCCAGGCGTCAACGATAAAATGAAGGTGTGCGGCGTAGAAGCGAGAGAACCCTCTGGAAAAGGACCAAAAGCAGTCGAGGCATCAAAATAAATCACGGAGGATTCCTACACTTGCGAATGGATGTGCGAATGGGAGGGAGGAGGCGCCCCCTAAAGGCTTCAATTGACATTAAGTGCACAAACTATACAATCAGTATACTGTATACACATCACTAAGCAAGCACAAAATAGCAAAGGAGGTAGAGTATGCAAGCAGCATCTAGTGTTTTAGTTAATAGCCGTACAGAATGGCAAAAAAAAATCTCTTACATTTTAAAAACGTTTTAATCCCTGTTTCTCCTAATAAAGTGCTGGGTGATCGATTAAAGTAACTGCTTTTCAACTCTTCTTGACAACAGAGTGATATTGTCATCCTAAGAATGACTTATAAGAGCCTGCAACTCGGACGTTACTCCAACCATTTATAGAACAAAACAGAACAAGACCGGTTGTTCTATTGCGGTACTGTTTTTCGGCTTCGCGTTTGGCTCGCCTCAAGACCAACGAGGCTTCCGTATGGCATCACCAACAAACATGGCGGCGCGCGTAGAGTCACTCGATTGAAGTAGAAAACACCTCAAAAAAGTGTCGTCGCCATATTGCAATCTCTTCGAATCGAGCAATAAAATAATGTTGAGCAGGATCGACAGCGCTCGAACCGGTTTAACGCATCATGTCCAAGCGGACGACATCCTCCACCGTTACTGCTTCGTCGTCTTCTCCGGATGCCTCCTCAACTGATACCCCTAAATCTGTTTGCAAAAATTGGCACAAAAAAAGTCAGGACAAGAACGACGCCGAAGTTCCCTTCGCGACCCTCTGGAAAGGTGACTATAGTTATGCATTGATTAACGCGCTCGTTTGTTTTTACATTTTTTTTCGAAACTCGCACGCGCACTTGCAGCAGGGCAGGATTAATTAATGGGGGGGAGGGGTCGTTTGAGAAAAACAACAAGTCAAGCATTATATTATTATGATTGTCAAGTTTGCAATCTGTGTGAAGCATGCATCGGATTGACACTTTATTCCTCAAGGGCCCAGAGTACTACAAATAAATTTCGAATCAACTGATAAAATGTATTCATAATTGCACAGCCCTGTTAGTGGCTACAAAAACGCGTTGGACAGTGTTGCCGCTCTCAAGTGTACAATACATGATCTTCATTTTCATGTTGTGGTTACTGCAAGAGCTGCAGAGTCCTCAGCGCCAAGGCTACAGCCTATCCTGTGGATCCAACCATGGAGACTCTACGGGTGATCTGGAGCCATCACAAGACATCGTTTGGGATGCCATGTCACCCCCCAACGCTGGTAAATAATAATAAGGAATAAAAACACTGATGGCAGCACCGCTTATTCCTACAGGAGACATTGTGCATTTTAACCCAAATTCAAACAGTTCACAGGTATTGGAATAATGTGACATAATTTGGCCATCATGTCCCAACCCAATCTTGTTTTGAGGGGGTGGGCCTGTTTTATGTAAATTAGACACTGCTCACCCCTCCCTCAACTGTGAGTGGATGAACTGGAAAGAGCAGAGCTGTGTGTGTGTGTGTGTGTGTGTGTGTGTGTGTGTGTGTGTGTGTGTGTGTGTGTGTGTTGGGGTTCTCATGAAAAAATGCAATATTCTTGATGTAGTGTAATTGGAAACAAAAAAATCTGAAAATTCAGGAATTGTTCAGTAAGACACATTATCTGCTTCCTTTTTCATCTGAAAGACACCATTCTTGACCTAATTTACGTGTAGATGTTGAATAAGTCTTCCAAAGCCTGAACTATTTGCAAATCAGCTATTAAAAAGTCAGTTGTCCATATCATGTCCCTTAAACTGCCCCTTGTTTTTAGGAGCGGGGCCGAATGTCAGAACCTTGGAAATAGCCGAAATTGTCAATCTCATTGCGCCAAAGGTCAGCTGCTCATCTTCCCCTGAAAAAAAAAAAAAAAAAGTTTTGGCAACCTTGTCATGCGTAGTCACTGTTGTGTTTTGCGTCTCACAGGACACGAAACCAAAAGGGCCGCTGTCGCCTCTGTGGCAGTGGATGGGCAGCCCCACGGCCTTGACGCCTGAGGTGCCCAAAGCCAGAGTGAGGAAGAAGTCCGCTCGGTGAGTCGCCTATGCTATACATGGTTGAAAGTATATTGGGGTTTTTTTTTCACAAATTGAAAAACTTGAATAAGAGCAACTCCTTTGGACAATAAAATGATTTTAGATTTTTCTCCAGACAAAACAGCGTCAACGAGCTGATAAGACTGGCCCGGCAGTTTGACGACAGCATGCAGCAGGACAAGCAGGTGTCAGCCCAGCGAAACAACAACAACAACGAAATCGGCAAAGCGGCAACAGAAACGCCGTCGCCACTGAACCAAACCGAGGCCGAGCTGCGAGCCCTTTTCGACTCCACCACTCAGAACGTCAGCGGCAGCCTGAGCCCGATCTCCTCCAAATCCTCCCAGGACAAAAGCCAGCTCAAAAAGTCCAGTCCCGCTCCTCATAAAATCAAGGAGTCAAGCAGCAAGTGTGCAGACTTTGACGACGACTGGGAGAATGACGACATGCTCAACGATCCTTCTTTGCTGGCCCTGATACAGAATCCACACCAGGATTCTGGCCCAGTCCGGCACTCGACTCAGACCAACCTGCGGGACTTAAGTCCCAAAGTCAAGCCCACCACCAGAAGCACTTTTAAGTTGGAGCCCAACCCTTACTTCCAAAAATCTGTCCAGCGCAACCGAGAAACAGCCAAGAACAAGATTTCCGACAGTAAATGGGATGACAGGGACGACGACGCGCTCTTCTACAATGTGTGCGACAGTGTGGAAAGGCTCTCCCAACCCACAAAGACAACCACGCCTCTCCCCATTCACCAAACGTTGCCCGCTAACAAGAAGTCGCCTCGCACTTTCATGCGTTCCAATTCGTTACCGGGCGAAACTTTGAAGGTCCGCCAAGGATGTAACGCTCTGGTGTCCAAGAGTCTCCCGGCAGGAGGCCACTTGGAGGCTGGGCGGGAACCCTCGCAGGCGGCCTTCAAGAGAAGCGTATGCCACACGGCGGTGAAGAGCTCCAAAGGTAATGTCAGACGTATTGTAAAATACCACACAGGAGCTGCTGTTGATCACAGCTCACACCCAGACACTCACGCAGACACCAGGCCCCGCCTCTTAGCACCGCATGGAGGCATTGCATGTAGAATTTTCTAGTCACATAAATGTTTTATTTTATTTATTTATTTATTTTTAAGTTTCTTTTCTCACTATTTCCCCTTTTGTTTCTCTCCTTTTCTCTGTAGTGTTTGTCACCAACCAGATGGCAGACAAGTGTTCGGCGGCTGAAATCGAACGCAAAAAGCAGGAAGCTTTGGCCAGGAGGTGGCAGAGGATGCAGAATGCGCAGAAACCGTAGAAAGAAACACGCACACACGTGCACACACACACACACACACACACACACACACACACACACACACACACACACACACACACTCTGGACTACATTATGCTGCTATTGAAAGGACACTGGGGTGATAATCAAGCATTTTTGTATTTTGTACTTATTTCATTTTTGGGGGAAAAGCTTGTTGGGTGTTTGTACACTATTTCTAAGTTTTCTGTGGATGTTTTGAAGGAATGTTCAGACTGGACAAATAAACATTTTTGTTTTGTTACGCTTTTTTTTGTTTTTTTCATAAAATGTACATAACTTCAGAAATATATATTTTTTAGAAATCTGACTTTAAAGACAGCCTTTTATGGAAATATGTGGATTTTTTTATCGATATATGTTCTAGGAAAATATACGGTACTTTAAAATGGAAAGATGATTTAGGATTTTTTTTCTCAAATGTACAACTTTGGGGAAAAGTCAATTTTCAACTTTTTTCATAAATATACAACTCTATGGAAATTTGACTTTTTTAACAACTTTTTCGAGAAAATATACAACTTTTTGGGGAAACGTCTGATTTTGAGTACTATTATTTTTTTGAAAAATACATTTCATCAATGTAGGACCATTTTAAAAAATAGATGACCTTTCAAATATATCAAAGCTTTTTTTGGAAATGTTTTGCAACCTTTTTTCTGAAACAGAACCCTCCCCCCCTCCAAAATAAACAACCATTTTTCTTCCCCCACCCCACCTAAAATATTGAAATAGTCAAAACACCTATTTGGCCCTATCTGTAGTTTTCTCAAATAATTTTGACAAAATTATTTTTGCATGGCTGTTGACAGTGATTAACTTTTGCTCTGCGATCTCGTCGGCTCCAAAAAGCACGACAGCAATCTATTCATGAAAACAAAACAAGGCCATGTGGCGCTTGACTTTTTCCACTTAGTTCTTGTCCGCCTCATGAAACTGAGCCTCTTGATATTTTTGATGTTGTGTTTTGCATCATTTCCTTGTCTTACCGATGAAGACATACTACAGATGTTTATTCCGCGCAGGTGTCGCTGCCCTCACTGGCACCTGTTTTTCTTCGGTCTCCGTTGACAGTCCCAAGCGGACATTTCGTTGTTGATGGATGACAAATGATTTTTAATCTAACGAATAATTTGTGCTCACCTGCTTGCCCGAGCGCACAATGCTGGCCTTTGTGTTCCCTACAGGCCTCCTTGGTCTACTTCCCAGGTGTGTTTGAAGTATTAAATCTTCCTCCCAATCCTGCTCCATAAATCTAACTGCAGAGAAATTTGTCACGTCATGAAAAGGCTTTGGTTTTATGAAAGCCATTATGCATTTTTTTTTCTTACGATGATGACTCGGATTTATTTCAGCTATCTGATGAAGCTAACAGGTGTGCGGAGCAGGCGCAATGTCATTCGCCAGGAGGTCATTGGGTGTTATCTGATGTACCGATGACCTCCTGGTTAGTGACATCAGCTTTCTTTCCCCAAAACTGTGTGTACACCCTCCTTCCACGCCACACAGACGCACTACAATCGCTTCTTCTAGTTGTCGTCGATACTTGAGGACATGCCGTCAGGAGCGACCAGCATGCTGGCAGGACATCTCGCTAATGACCTTCCGGTAAATGACTTGAGCTTCTTTTCGCCGCAACCATGTTTTTTGTCGGCATTCTGCTCCTGTTATGCACACAGGCTGCGATCTCTTCTCCTCATTGTAGTCCTCGCATTCTCCTCGTGTTTAGCACACACACACGCGGACACACGTTTGCACAGGCGAGCAGCGGCAAGCTGTCAGCGGCGTTAAATGACCTGTGACCGTTTTCACGGTGCATGTCATTAGGCAGCTTTAGATTTGTTTCAACAGCGCTTCACCTGTGGGCACCATTCACGCGCCCCCAGGTATGTTTTACCCCCCCTCCGCCGCCACCACCCCCCATCCCATAGTCCCCTTGCAAAATTCCCGTGCTCACATCTCCTCCACCATGAACCACCCCCGGCTATGGAAAGTAGTAAAAACAGGCTGCGGTTTTTGTTTTTACAATGCATCGACATCTATCTTCATGGCGCAATGTCAGGTTTGTTTGTTTGCGTTAGCAGCTAGCTAGCACATAGCGAATAAGAAGTGAGTTTTTACTCGAAACTTAAAGTAAGAAGTAATGTAATGCATGCTGAAGCGCAGTCCTACAGCTCCACATTTTCTATGAAAATCCAACAGAAATGAATGGAGATCATTTCCAAGTTTGTACCATCCTTCCAGATTTCTGTACTTATTCAGCTACTTTGCAACCATCCCATTCAGGACATCTACAGAAGTATTTTTCACATTCTGTATCTTCCAACATTATTGAGTATTCTACATTTTCCATGACAAAATGACTTCCCGTTGAGAACGATTGCAATTTTCATTCTTAGGTTACATTTTTGCTACGTTAGCATACCGACTGTTAGCACGCGTTAGCGATTCTCATTAGAAGCAAAGGATAAATACAAAGCAAGAGGTAAAATCCTCATGATGGCACCCCATGTTAGCTATTCTCATATATCAGTACTATAATTCAGCATTTTCACAATTTCCAGTTGTCACATTTCCTTTATTTTCTACGACATTTGAGTTCGGCATCAGCTCCTTCCGTCATACATTGAACGAGTCCACAATCTTGTTTCCTAGTCGGAGTCATTACTCAAGCAGCAGCGTTTTTTTGGAGGAGCTGGAGATTGTTCAGACTCGCTGGAGCAGCCTGATACAATACAGCAAGGTTATTAGTGAGCAGGAGGGGAAAAAAAAATCATTATATTTATGTTGCTGACACAAAACTGTAATTTATAAGTCGTTAATGGTGCGAGTGTCTGGTGAGTAAGTCATGAGAAGGTCAACGTCACCCAGACCAAAGCGATAAGACAGACGTGTCAAAAAAGGGGGGAAAAAAATGTTATTCCAAACTAAATCACGACTTCGGAATGGTAAGGGAGTAGCAGCAAAACATTTCTTTGGGAAGGATTTACGATTCCAAGTGAACCCGCGCAACAATTTCGCGTTGTGTTCGACGGCGGGGATTTTTTTTCGAGAGCGATCCCGTATTGATGCGCAGGCACGGCCATGCTTTATTAAGCGTGCTGATAAGGCGACGTCAACCAGCTCGCGCACCGCCAACAAGCATTCCTGCAGCTTATATCTGCCAACACCTTTGCGCTACACCGACTTTGGCCTTAAAGCGTTCCCTAAACACACACACACACACACACACACACACACACACACACACACACACTCCACCTCCTCTGCCTTTAATAGTCGGCGTGGGATGTAATGGTGTGTTGACAGCTTTAGGCTGAGGTCATTTAGTTGCTCTACAGTGACTTGTCCGAGTTTCCCCAAGAGAACAAATGAGCAGCAGATGCAGTCGAGCTGACTGTTAACTACGGCTTAGCGATATGGCCTTCAAATCAAATCTTGGAATGATTTCACCAAAATCCGATTTCCAAGTGGAAGCGAGTTTGCTTCCTCGTCTGGGATTTGCTAGATTTCTTCTGATAGCACACAAGTAACTCTGACTTTTCAAGTTTCCAAGTTCTCGAAATGATGATGAAGCTTTGATACCAAGTTCTGCCTACGCAGGCAAAAAAAAAAAGATAAAATGGATTTTTAAAAATGGCCAAAATGGCTACTTCGAGCCAAAATGGATTCCTTTCTCAACACTTTTTGGTGTGTCCTGTCATGATGGACATGTCCGTCCGTACGTCTATCCATCCGTCATCTAAGGCGCTTATCCTTGTTATTCTGACAAATTAGGGGGTGTGGTGGTGGTGGTGGGGGGGTTTTCCCCCTCGAACTTTTTGAGTGCGAAAGGGCTGCTTCAAAACAATGGTTGACTTCAAGGTCAATTTTGTGCACGGGTTCTTGAGACTTTTTTTTGTGTTTCCTGTTATGACAAATATTCAATCAATTTTGTGTCATTTGGTGAAAATGGTTTCGGGGCTGATTTCGGAGCTGATTCGAACCAAAGCGGCAGAGATTTTGTTTGATTTTGGTCCTGGGTGCTTGAGACTATTTCATGCTTCTCGTTATGCTTGACATGTCCGACTAATTTCGAGTGTAACCGGTGTCCGGGGTTGATGCAAAATGGCGGCTTCAAACCAAAATGGCTGACTCAGGGGTCTATTTTGTGCATGGGTTCTTGAGACATTTTTGTGGATGAGTGACATGGCCACAAAACTTTTTGCGCCGATCTGTGAAACGGGTGTGAAAGGTTTCATTTTTTATTTTTCTAACTTTCCTGAGGGGTGCCTCTTGCGTGCAAAATGGCTACTTTAAAAAAAAAAAGTGCTTTTTTTCTTTCTTTTTTTTGTACATCCAGTTAAAAATAAGCATGTCAAACCAATTATGCCTCAATTTGTATAACTGGCGTCTGGGCTGATTTAATTTTCTTCTCTTTTTTTTATTTATTTTTTTAAACTTTTCACTGTGTGAGTTTTGCAAGGGAGTTTCTGTTGTAGCTGCAAAACGAACAGCGCTGAAAGCGAGAGCACATCCAAACGGTGTAAAGGCTCCCAGTCATCCGAGCAGCTATTTCACTATAACATTGGCTCAAAGACAAGCAAGGCGAGAAGCGCCGATGAATAAATAAGCAGTGTTTGCAAGCACAATTCCTCTTCAAGGCAAACGGGGGCTCCCCAGTCAAATAAGACGAGCCGAGGCAAACGCATCGACTCCGAA